TCCCATCTTCCCCCTCATCTTCGTCTATCCCCTTCCTCTTCGTCTGTGTATGGTATGGGCTGGCGCAGTCTTCCTGTGTAAAGCACCAGACCCCATTCACACCATGTAACGATGATGATGATGTATGTTCAGGGCTGCATTGCAACATTGATTGTCCGGATCATTCGTATCTAAGTCTTCCGCTGTGTTATCTTGTACTTTGTATTGAGAGGTCGGTCCTTGTTCTGGTCTGCACGTTACAGTATGCAAGAGAGGGTTTTGGCGCTCGTTCGCGTTCGGTCGCGAACGTTCGACGGTTCGGGTTCGGACACCAAACCTGAACACGATGCTACACAGGGGATAACCACAATTACCATACAACTCAAAATACGTTGACAAAAGCGAAGTTCGTATGGTAGGGAGATAGGGAGCATAGGGGAGGTGGCGGTGAGTGGCGGAGATTTGGGGATGTGGGGGAGGGCAAACGGAATGCGGTATCATGGCTCCAACACGGGCCCCTTCAGGGACCGATATTGGGCCAGGGGTCGTGGAGTGTGAGTTTTGGGTGTTTTCTTTTCTTTTTGGGGTCGTCTGCATTTTTCTGAGTTCACTTTTGCTGTTGTTCTCAGGCGTTTGTCTGTTATGTTCCAGCTTTGTCCGGTCTGGATGCGTAGTTTCAGCATTTTTGTCCAGACCAGTAGTCCCTCTGGACCAGTGGCCGTTTTTAGACCTGGCTCAGACAGATTCGTGTTAAACCACGCTTTGGTCCAGCCCTGGTTTTGTCCTCTTGAGGCTCTTGTGAGGACACGAAACAGCAGAGGAGCCCATACGTCCGGTTGCGACCCAAGTAGGAAGTTTTTGGCCAGGACTCAGGACCAGGTTTTGGGCCTGCATCCTGGACTGTCGATCGGCAGTACGATCGGACGGCCCAGGACAGAGGTCGAGGAAGGATCCAGGAGGCCCAGCGCTATATATAGCTGGGCTGGCCTCATTCTTGGGGAAGCATTCAGAAGTCATGCAACCACGCTGCTGGAGCAGAGTTGGAGGTTTAGCAGCGCTAGGCTAGAGTAGAGGAGATAGGAGGACAGGAAGTAGAGGCCAGGAGGTGTTGAGGAAGAGAGGACTCACCTGATGGCTTACCCGTCGGACGCCATAGCTAAAGATCGTCTTGAGGCCGCTCCCACCTGCAGCAAAGCTCAAGACTGCACCTTTTCGCTGGTCATTATCGGGCGGGAGAGAGAGAGAGAGAGAGAGAGAGAGAGAGAGAGAGAGAGAGAGAGAGAGAGAGAGAGAGAGAGAGAGAGAGAGAGAGAGTTTTGGTGACTATTGGGGCTATTGCCCAGACTCGGACATTGTGTTGTGGACAGAGACTCTGGGGGGCTACTGTGGACAGTGTGGAGACTATTCTTTCACTGGGCTATGAAGTTGCAGTCTCCCTTTTCTTCTCCCCTCTTCGTCTCTTCCTGCATCTCTTCCGTCTGTGGATGTACGGAGGACATGGCCGCTATCTTCCATGCGTGAGTCCCCAGGTCCCTCTCTATGTGTGAGAGATGATGGGTGTATGGATGCAGTCCTTAGTCTCGATGAGTCAGATCGGTGTATTTCAGTCTCCTGCTGCATTGCTATTGCTGTTGCTCTTCATGGTGATCCTTGGCTCTTGTGGCATGCCTATCTGCTACTTATAGACAAGCGACAGGGAGACACCCACTCACCTCTCTCTCTCTCTCTCTCTCTCTCTCTCTCTCTCTCTCTCTCTCTCTCTCTCTCTCTCTCTCTCTCTCTCTCTCTCTCTCTCTCTCT